TGTATATAAGCAAGAAACATTTACATTACCATGTTGTTTTAACTTGTTTCAGTATGCTAGATATGTTTTAGCTTTTCATTGTGTATTGAAGCTAACAATTTTCTCCTGAAAGAAGTAGTAGAAATGTAATAGCGGAAGTAATATAAGCCTCAACTTTTCTATAGCAAGACAGTTACAACAGAACAGTAGAACACCAACGAGTGTAGCGGCAACGCGCTACCAGGATGTTCAAACTAAGCGCACGCATATGTATATCAAACATCAACAAACCTTATTTTGCTGACGTACGTGCGGCGCTTGCCAAGACAGCACGCTACGTCAAACAAACAACGTAGAAGGTGCAGCACCATACCAATTGTTTTGAGGCAGTGCAATGTCATTCTGACCACTTGCTAAGGCGCGTGACATGAGCTGTTAGATATCTCAGTTTTGGTTTCGCAGTGAATACGAAGTAAGTTTAGTCGATCGTCAAAGTTTACGATTGGCAGTCTTTGAAAACCCAGAAGTGGCAATGGTTTTTTTGCAGGAAAGATCTGAATTGTATCATTTCACCTCATCACCTATCTTCTCTAGCCAGTGGAGTCCATGATTTGAATTTATTAACATTATAAGTTGTGTTAAGGTCACTGTTCAGAAATTTACTTGCCCAGATGGAAGTGACGTTTACGAGGGCAAGGAGCACACATGAAATTCCCCCTACCGTAAGCATTATTGGACACATTTCCTGAAATGTGTTGTGAAAAATACCCGAAAGATGCCGAAGCGCAGTGTTCAAACTTCTCCGAAACAGGAGGCCATATTAGGAAGTGACAAGGTAGCTTCGTTATCACCACCACTACTTTTGATGATGCCGGAAACCTATGGTATCACGAGTAAATGAACCTGTGAATTATACGGATAAAAATAAGAGACCTTTGGAGAACAGTCACTGTCCATAAAATGGTACTAAGCAAATATACGCACACCAAGCTGCAGGAGTGCCAGCAGAACTGCGTTACTCCTGGTGCGACAGTATAAAGTTGCAGAGGAAAATGAAACAAACATAAGGCAACCCGATATCACTATCGGGAGAGAGAGAGAGATGAATAGAGAGGAAAAGCAGGGAGGCTAACCAAGCTTAGCTCGGTTGGCTACCCTACACTTGGGGTGGGGCAAAAGGAGAATAATAGAACGGAAAGAGATAGAAAAGAAGAGGAGTAAGAAAGACAATCATGAATAGTCAGCTCGAGACTACACAGCACGGTCTCGCACAGTTCTTTCACAAGCGGTCATGAAGTCTGGTGGTCCTTAAAAAGTACAAAAGGGCTTTCGTGGATTTGCACGTAGGGGAAGCCGTCGGCCAAGGTCCTAGGATCTTCTCTTCTGTAAGCGGCCGTGAATCCAGCTGACAGAGCTTGGCTTCCATAATACGTCGTTCAGTCTGGTATGCTGGGCAATGACATAGAATGTGCTCAAGCGTTTCCTCGCAGGCGCAGATGTTGCATGCCGAAGTGCTCACCATTCGAAGGAGACGAGAGTACGAATTCGTAAATGCCACGCCCAACCTCATGCGACACAGTAAAGTTTCAGCACATCGTGGGAGCATATCACTATCGGAGATTCTATACCGGCTATAGGGTGGGGTAAAATTCAACTATATTCTGAAATTAGAGAATATCAGTTTCATTTCTCTTTTTACTATTAAATGTCAACGCAGAGACATGTCTTTCGGTACAAAGTATGTGCTCCATGAATATGAACAAGTTGCCACAGCTTAAAAGGCCGTTTTGAAAATAAATAAGAAATGCACCAGGAGTCTCCCTTTGCCACAACCTGTGGGTCAAAACGAAACGCAGCGTGGGCAAAACGGGACAGTATGAAATAATTTCATTCCTTCAGATTTTGAAGTAGAAGCACTTGAAATTCATTCCATTTTTCAGTGTTCATGAGCCCACTCCATACACTCCACGCAATGAATCGAGAGGGGCAAAAGGAGACAGTCTGAAAAAAATTTCATTCCTTTAGATTTTAAAGTATAAGCACCTGAAATGCATTCCGTTCTCATCAGTCTTCATGAGCCCACTCCTTGCACTCTACGCAATGATTCGAGACGGAACCCGGCGATGCGTTGCTCCGAAATTCCTAGCAGATCAAGTACACCACCGTCTTTTTTTGTGCTAGTGGCGTCTTTAGTTGAACGCTTGCAACGATTGGAGGCTAGATAGGTCATGACGCGTCTTCTTCACCTCTTTTTGCCGTCTGGATGTGGAATTGCGCAGGAATTTTGTGTCTTTTAACTTAGCCAGGCTTTGTGAGGCGATTAATTTCATTTTTTTCGCTTGTTATGTGTAAAATAACGGTAAGAAATAAATATTCATACAACGCAATTCCAAGACCTATATGTGAACGGCTGTATACTTGAACATTCTTTTAATTTTTTCATGCGCCTCTTGAGAGCATCTTTGAGAACGCCGAACAGCCTCGGTGCAGCGCGAATGAAGTGAGTGTTGTCGTCAACAGCAGTCAGCGCTTTTGATCTCATTTTCGACCCAGGAAACTATGTAATATCTCATTGTACGTCTTAACCCTCCTAAACAAAAAAAATCACAGCATATCCAAGGAGTGAATGATGATGAGTGGGGCGAAGCATCCATCCGTCCGTTCGTTCTTGCTTTCGTCCATCTTTGCGTTCGTTCGTAGGTCCACCCGCCCATGCGTCCAATTGGACGTCTGTCTAGGCTCCAATTCATCCACCCGTGCATCTGTCCGTCCGTCTGTTCGTGCGTCAAACAGACAGACAGGCAGACGACGGACGGACGCGTCCAGCGGATGATTCACGGTTTGCCGATAAAACGCTCCGAAGTTTCGCCCCACTCATCATCAATCGCTTCATGGGTATGATGTGACGTGGTTACTACATACATGCACAAATACAGGAGACGACCAACGGACGCAGTAAAAAGCTTTGCCCCTAAAATATATTATTAGTCTAGGTAAATGGTTCACGCAATGACGCACTATGTGAAGCATTTTGATGCCTTTTTGTCATGGTTTGCACCTCCCACATGCCCGAATAAAAAAGTTACGCTTTGACAATGTGCACCAAGTTAACCAAAGTTTTGGTGGTATGCAGATTGTAGAACAAGGTAACAAAATAAATATGTAAGTTGTTGTACTCAAGTCGGAGTAGTTTCTGCATGGACCCGAAAATTTGGCTGAGCATAAATTCGCCCCTTTTTGACGGGTCGCGAACGTACCAATCCCAACAGCGCAATCTTTCCCACGCAAACGCTTTGAGCAATAATAAACTTTTATACTTGAAAAGGTAAACGAGGTCTATCACTTATTCCTGGGAAAGTGAAACAAATAAAAGTAGTTTTTGTCTGAGCTACAGAGGCCGGCCAAGTCAAAATGTCGTGGTCTACCCCGTGTCTCAGTTTACCCCATCCTACACTACAAACAGCGCGAAGTATGAAGAAGTAGCATAAGCTATACATAAAAACGTTAGCGCAGGTAGAAGTGGAACTAAGTCACCCAAGGCTTGTTCACAGCACAGCTCGTGGGCTTTCTAGCTGGCCCGGGATTGGCTAGGCTTTCACCCTCTCAACTCTATGTTGGGAGGGTCTCTCTGTTTATTTATGCGTCTTTAAATTAATTGCCACAAATTTCTTTCTATTCGTCGTTATATCCTTAATTTTCTTCCTTTTCGTGCCCTCTGTTTCGGTTTGTTCCACTTTCTTTCTGTTTCCTTCTCTCTTTCTATTTCTGTCTCTCTTTTTTTCTTTCTGCATTTGTTTCTTTTCTCTCCTCTCCTTCTTTCTACCTCCTCGTCCTCACTTCCCTTTACAACAATCTTGCTATAAAATATACAAGGTTGCGTGGTGCTCTACCACTGAGCTTTTTGGGTTGCTATTTGTGCTACGTGATTGCATCGGGACAACTACGGAAGGGAACTCTTAGATCTTTGACAGTGCCGAATTTGTGACGAGCGACAAGCCGATGTTGAATAAATAATGAGAAAGAAAAGGTGCCTGAAAATCTGATTGGTTTATCCTCCTGAGTTTCAGCTATGGCGATTTGTCCAATATAATGGACATCAAATACCCCATCACTACAATGATCTCAGCATGTTTTCTTCTTCAAAAACCAGTTGTCCAATATTTTGGACATCTACTAGTGCCCTCCATAAAGTTTTGTCGAAATTGTGCCCGGAGATCACAAAAGAAAGAAGAAAACGTGATGACGTTCAACAGAACAGCGTTCTAGATGTTTAACGGCAAAAATTAAGGTCCACTTATTTGTAGTTTCTTTAATAGTTCTTAAAGTTTGAATCATAACTTGCAGTTATTCCAGAATTTGTCACAATTTTCTTCCGTAATTTTGCTTTATGTTGCTTCTGGCCCATTACTTAATGCTTTAATTAGGTTTCTGCGTCCAATTAATTGGACATCACGCCATACCAAAACCACAGGCATCACGAAAATAATAAGCTTCACTTTTTATCTTCGTCATCTGCACAGCCAGTTGTGAAAGTATCAGGAAATTCTGTGGATCAAAAGCCAGCCCGGAAGTCAGGAGAAACCTAGATAAGTCAGGAGAAACCGTTAACATTTTTTGGTGGGTATGCGGGTTCGAGTGCCAGCTGACGGTGGCAGTAACAAGGACTTCGTTCAATAATCTCGAAGAAAGTGACCGAGAGCCGCCGAGACAGCCCGTCAATCGTATCGCAAGGAATTTCTCTCTTTATTTTTATTTCTACGTTTTCCTTTCTCATTTTCTTTCGATCCGTCTCTATAGTTCAATCACCAATCAGAGTTATTGATCCCACGCCGAAAAATTAGGTGCACGTGTTCTGGAAGCGAACCAGAAGAGAAAAAAAAGTAAATATAGAGAGCGCGTGCTTGTTCGTGATGATTATAACTTTTTCTCTACGACACAGGCAAACCTTGGGTCTAACAGCTCTGCTGTAAAACATCTTCATAGTAATGTAGAAGTAATGGGAGCAGCAAAGGGTTGCTTACCTGAGAAAGAAGAAAGTGTCGACGCCATTCAATGCTGCGGGTATGATCATGTTTTGCCACTGTGTCGTATTTTCTAACAAGCCCAGTAACCGTGCTGGAAATATATTATTCCCACGCAAGTTAGATTTTGGTGAAATTCAAAAACAAAAAAGTAAGGAGAATCAGGTGCAAATACGGTGACACAGCGCGAGAACGACAGAAGCACAGTAATAAACTCAAATTGAACGACAAGGTAGTCAAATGGAAGCAAAGCACAAACAAGATAGTTTAAAATATTAGTAAAAAAGTTTTGGGTTTAACTTCCCAAAACCAGTATAGATTATGAGAGAAGTGCTCCGAAAATTTTTACCACCTGGGGTTCTTTAACGTACGCCCAAACCTAGCACATGGGCTTTAAGCAATTTTACCTCTATCGAAAATGCGACCACCGCGACTGGGAATCAGTCCCACTACCTGCGGGTCAGTAGATGAGTGCCTTTGCCAGTAGACCACCATGCGGCAAAGTAGTCTAAAAGCATAGAGAACACTGAGTTAAAACAGAATACACTGAGAAAGTAAGAATGCTTGCGAGCGGCGAAGAAGACTGAGTTGATGAAAGTGAGCTGTAGCAAAGAGCTTGTATGCTGTGCTCCGATGAGTGTTGGTGGACGCAGGCGGGTACACGAAGTGGTCTATGACGTCTGGTTATTCTTACAAGGATTTCGCAAGTTTGAAGATACAACTGAGCAGTCAATGCAGTGCTGTTCCTTGAGGCTTCGCACGACCAGTGCGCAGCTGTCCTAACTTAAAAGGAAGATCCTGATGGTACTATTGTTTACGAATATATTCTTAAAAGTGTTACACTCGATTCGCACTTAAACTTCATCATTCAATTTCACTTCTAAGCGTAAATTCAATATTCACACGCCCTTGCCTGGGTGGAGCATGCTGCGAGGGCGACACTGCGTACTACTGCACAGGGAAACATAGAAATGCAATTTAACTATTCAGGAGAACTTTTTTTCAATATTTGAGAACCACATAGTACGGATCGAAAATCTTTAAAACTAGGCGAGCTATACCTCAGTTTTCAGGTACACTTTAACGTATGTTTACACTAAATGCGCTGAATAAATCAGTATGCGCAGGCGAAAATGTCAAATGTATTGCCGAGACACTCACCATAAGTTTCAGTGGTTGTCATGTGGGTGTGTCCGAACACAATGTGCATAACCGTTAAGCTTCGAACGCCATGCAAGAATTGCAGGGAGTTTGGCTCAACCTTATCTTTGCTAGGTGCATGGAGTAGAAATCGTGTGTTGGATTTTGCCGAGAAGGCCACAGCAACTTGAAACAGGAGACCTGAAAAGGCAATCACACCTTTTTGTTGGGATACAAACTGTGAATGCCGCTAGCACTCGCGCCACTTGAGCGCAAGTATGCGAAGTGATAAATAAACAGAAATTATCAGTACTCCAGGAAAATGATGGCCAGATAGATAGGCATATACATACGTGCACATACATACATACATACATACATACATACATACATACATACATACATACATACATACATACATACATATACACACATTCATACATACAAACATACATACATACATATATAAATACATACATACATACATACATACATACATACATACATACATCAGCAGCCCGACTACACCCACTGCAGGACGAATTCCTCTCTCATATTCCTCTGCTGGCTGCTGCGTCTGTACACCAGCCAACTTCCTAATCTTACCTGCCCACCTAACTTTATGTCTCCCTCTCACCCACTTAACTCCTCTTGAAATCCTGTCTGTGATCCTTAACGACCAGTGATTATCCTGGTTTTGGCTATGTGCCCAGTCCATGTCCATTTGTACATACATACATACATACATACATACATACATACATACATACATACATACATACATACATACATACATACATACATACATACATACATACATACATACATACATACATACATACATACATACATACATACATACATACATACATACATACATAAAGTACGCACGTACGTGCGTACTTGTCGGCATGATGTGTGCCTGGATAACAGCGCCTGAATCTTTTCCATATTGCACTGCTATTAGTACCTCTCAAGTCGGTACATCGGTTTAGTCAATGGGGGCCGTCTTTCTCGCCTACATACCTTAACTTATTGCATTGTTTAATGTTATGGACGGCATTTAAATTTGGCCATTGTTACGGGGTTATTCTGATAACCTGAGTTTCACGCAGGAAAGAAAAATGCTTTAACGATGCACTTGTCCAGCGGTGCGCGTACGAAGGGGGCAAAAGGTGGGTGGACGAAGTCACCCTTACATATCAACATAATAGGAAAGGGAACGCTTCGACGAACCTTCGTCCCTCCTTCCCCCGAAGGGGAACCCCGCGCATGTCTGTGCATGTGGTGCAATGCGAATCAGATAATAAAACAGAAAGATTTATTTCGCCTGGCAAATGTAATGTGACTTGAACCCTGCCTAATCACTAGCCTATAAGTTTTTATTTATTTAGTATTTTCAAGATTCGTTCATATGTGTGCTTTTTTCCATGGCTTGTAGGGTTCCCCTTTTTTCTCGCTTTTCGATGTAAGCACTTATACCAAAGCGACATCATTTCATTATGTCATTCGCACTTTTCTGAAGTATTTTGTCCTCTTTCCTGAAATATAACTGTGAAATTAAAAGTTAATAAATACACCCACCGTGATTTTTTCTCCACTTGGACGTCCATCCCTCGAAATGGTCGACCAGCGTACTGATGACAATGACAACGAGTAGGATTGCTGCGAATATTCTGTAATTTGAAACACGCATTGTCACAGGGATGCATGACTGTCATTGCTTTCTTGCCGAGGAAAAAAATTTACTTTTTCTCTAGTTATAGAGTAGCTTTTCAGTACTAAGAACATATGGCCTATTGTATAGCGTAATTACCCTGTTTATTTTTTTTTGGCAATGCCGCCTAATCACTCGCGGATTCACTGGGACTACAGTTCTTAGCTGCATAAAAACTGTCCTCTCATTTAAAAAGATGTTACAATTTTCCGAGTAAACGATTTCATGATTCCGAGTTTTAATATTCTAATTGTAGTTTAGAAAATGATTCTAGTTGGACAATTCTCTGAGTAAAAAAATAAGGAAGATTTCAGTCCTTGTTCAAGAGAAAGATTCATTTATTGAAATAACTTTATTGATCGGAAGGAGAATCTCCACATACGTCTTTAAAAGCCAGAAATCAGTGTTTTCTATAGACTCTGTGGCAACGCAAATATAGGGCTCCCTCCACCATTTCAGTGGGTGTACTCGAAAGCTCCACCTGGGACTTCCGAGGCGGTGAAACTACAGATACTGTCACGTCAGCAAAACATAAACAAAACAAATATTTTGGGAGAGGTGATGACAGAGGAGAAAACAGATCGCGCTACTTTTCTGTGCCTTGAGGGGAACGCTTCCCTCCCCCCTCCAGCTGCACAGCGGATCCAAAGTCGACTCCACTATTTAAAAAAACTGAGTCATTTAGAAACACAAAGTGTTTATTTCTGAGAACGTTTAAAAGGGATGCACTCAGCAAACTGGCCTAGCCAGCGTCATATCAAGCAATCATGCCACTTCCCACGTGAAGCCAATAAAAAATTTACGACTATTGTTGTGACAGCCGTGCGGCAAAACATCACTTCTTATACGAAAACCGCCTGATGTAAGTCATGGTAGTTTGAAGGCAAGGTCGTTTATCAGGTAAAATAAAATTATAAGAGCTTCGTTTTGGGCGTTGGTCACTTGCACAGTGGTATCGACGGGGCCCAGAGTACTAGACGCCGCCATGAAAACAACGCGCTTAATGAATTCACGTCATTTAAAGTACAGAGGATAAGCTTCTGGAATAACTTACACGATCGCTATTTGCGACTTGTTCCATGGTCTTGGTTCACCTGTCACGCAGTTTGATACTTCAAGCCTGGCGAAACGAGGGCTTACTGCAAGCAAACAGATAAAAGGAGATGCAAGCAGTGTTTGCGAGTAAGTTTTTAGTCATACCGCTAGCAGCTAGAAAAGTGTTCGATTAATAGTGTAGGTTAAGCACAAACTGAAAAAAAAGGTTTAGCAGTTTAAATATATTTTACGTTTATCCAATAAACCGATCACGACTTATCGACAAAAGAACATAGACAATAAAGAGATTTCGTCTTCTTTGTTGTCCGTTGTTTGTCGTCGGACAGTTGTGCTGCAGTTATGAATTCCCAACTTGCGCATAATGTTGCTCTGATTCATTATTACCGTCATCATCAGCCTGACTACGCCCACTGAAGGGCGAAAGCCTAATTCGCATATCAACCCGGTCTTGTGCCCACTGTAAGTTCAAATTTGAAGGAGAGGGGACTACCGGAGGAGAGTAGTGCTTGCGCCGCTAGAGCAGAAGCGAGAACGCAGGAGAAGCGCATCAATGTAGCAAGGAAGAAGTGGAGAGAGTAACGCGCCGCTGTTGGAAAAAGAAAAGGAGGAGAGTTGCGCATGCGTAGTGTGAATGCGGATGCCGACCCCGCGGCACATCCACTCGAGCAAGAGATGCTCCGCATCTAAAACTAGCAGCTGTTCCATGTACGAATACAACCGATGAGCGAAGCTTCTTAGAAATGCAGCGCCCAATACTATGCGCCTAATGTCGCTGCTGGCTTTCAATAAGGTGAGAGAGTGGGGATAGCGTCTGCAGCGCTCGGTGGTGGACACTACTGAGAGAGTGAGTGTGCGACGCGTATGGTGCATCGTGCGCCATCTGCCGCCGCGCCTCCAATCACCGTGAGCGTGCACCTGTTGTTTTGCTCGGCGCGCCCAACCGCACAACCGGCGCTGGGAGCTTCAACCGGCGGCGATGGTGACGGCGGAGGGCCGGCTTAGGTAGCTCCGCTCCTACAAGTGCGAGAAATATTAATCTCCCGAGAGCAGCTAAGATAGTGAAGCTCTTGAGCTGCTGGCTAAAATTTCCTTTGGCTGTTAAGAGACCAGCAAACTCAACTATAACTCGGAAGTACAGCACGGCAAAACGCGCAATCACGACTGCTTTCGAATTACGTACCTGCGTTGACCATAGCTTGTAAGTCGTGTTGGTTACAGTCATCAATATAGCACACGCCCAATCGACCAAGGGGATCTCCTGGAATACCGCCATATTTGCCGAAATAGAGTAGCTGGAAGAAACGTCAATGATGCAGCGTATGAAGTGGTCACGTAAAGAACGCTGAGCGTAAGAAAACTGGAAGGCATTGAGTAGGAAAATAGGTATAGATAAGTAAAATTCACGAGCAAGTGATGCGGGTGTTAACACTCCCAGTAGGTCGGGTTATTCGATGGCAATAACATCGACTACAAACATGTCTGCTGCGAAACAATTGCTATGTAATATTACAGGAAATAAAGAGCTACTTTCAGTTGAAATCGCGAAATAGAATTTAGAAGCAAGAAATAGCCGGTCCATGTGGTTGTTCCAGGGATGCTGCATTGCCATAATGTCCTGGAAACAAAATAATGCGACAAAAATGTTCAACTGCCCACTTCGGGCTGCTGTAAAAATGAGGAACCCTTGTCATGTGGTGAATCCTTCTTGGGACGCTTGTTTTTATCTGTACCAAGAATGAGAAGTCTTCGTAATCGTAACCATTAGTTAACTCTCAGAGGATTTAAAGGGCATCACCTTGCCCGACGAATACGAGAACTCAACACCATCTAGGTGGCTAGAGGACGCTACACTGAGCTGCTTGGCTAGTAGCGCAATGAATACTTACCATTACACAGTTATGACTGTACGCTGCCGCTAAGTACAGACCATGTGAACATCCCCAAACGATGCAACCAGTTTTTTTATAAAAAACAGCTCCTACATGAACTCGATGAGATACACATAAAACTAAGAACCACGTAAATCTGCATTCCTTGTTCTCGGGTGTGTTCTGCAATAGAATGCAGCGTGCACCTCTATATATTCGCGAAGAAATAACAGTGGCTCAAGACTTATGCATTATGAAAGACTAACATAAAAACTGAAGTTGAGCAACTTGTTGTGCAGAATATTTTATGTACGCTTGTCACGTACGCTTTGTACGCTTTGTATGTACGCTTTGTGTACGCTTTGTCCGCTTATGCACGCTTTGTCAGCGCGTCATTTCATACGTCCACTTACGTTTATTCGTTAGATTGCCTAAGAAATATTCAAGAAAGGATCCGAACTACAAGTCAACTGATGGAACGATTCAGTCGTCATTCAATACTTTGCGTTGGCATCACGCTGATCCCTCCCACGTTTGATACACTGAACCGAGCCAACAATTCCTAATAAAGATTAGGACGCTTTACCGGTGCCGCACTGCTTAAACACCGGAGATCACTTGTCACTGAACGCTGACGTCATTGAAGGGCTGCTTCATCTATCGGAGTCACCACAACGGCAGAAAAACACCTAGAGTGTCTACAGCATAGGAAAGCGAAGGCGAAGTTCCTGTGACGGCAATTAGACGCACCACACCGGAAGCAGCAAACAGTAGAAAATAGTAGAAAGCATATCACAGAACTCCAAATATGTTATCGCCAAGTGAATCAGATATTCGCAAAAATAGATAACCAAAACAGATGAAAGACACCCCATAATCCCGTGAAAAAAGCAGGAAAAATCACGAAAGAGCTGATAAACACAATATAGAGAAAACGGAAACGAAAAATAATCACTGCACCAATAATTGTGTATATCCCACTTGGGCTGCGAATATATGCGAGTCGACGTACCCTAGGGGATAGAGTATCTGAAATGGAGTTCAAAATCGCTTGCTGCGCCGTGGCATTGTCAACGTAGATGAGCAAGTTGCAGTACTGGCCCCGTGAAAGTACGGCCCCGTTGCGGTCTCGCACAGTGGTCTCGAGGCACTCGTCGAATGCTCCCAGGTCGACGCGGGAAAGCTCGAAGGCTCCGGAAGGGTACTTTCCTGTAGCGTCAATAACTGCGACACACAGTTACCAAAGAGTGTATCTTAGAATATAAGAAATGGGTGGCCACGCGACGCTGTTTGATGCTATATTGCTTATGATCAAAAGCAAAAGTATACCGCGCTTACAAGTGTCGAGAGTTGCAGCTGCACTCAATTTGCACCGTATGACTCATTATCGAGAACGCTCGTGGCGGTGGAACACTGGTTATGATGCGTGCCTAATTGCTGAGCAAAAAAAAATGCAGGTTTGATCCACCCAGGTCGTCATTTTCCCTTTTCTACAGAACCGAAATGCTAGAGGTTTGGTTTGTGTACTGGGCGCTGTCTATTTAGGTTAACGAAACCCCCATGCTTGTAATCATCCGTAGCCCTACAGTACGGCGTCTTATGACCTGAGTCACTTGAGGACAATAAAGGGCCCACATATACATCAGCAGACGCTGGAGTTCTCTTTTTTTCATATCTGTTCAATATAATTAGCTGTTGACGTCACGTCACATGCCTGGTTAAGTCTTGTCATGAGCTAAAAATGCTGTCTAGTAGGTGCACACGAACATCCTTGTCTACTATGAAAGAAGATCAAGAAGTTTAGCAACTTTGTTTTAACCAATATTGAAATCTCTCCGCCTTTACTTCAGTTCATCTCTGAAGCAAGGTCTAAATATGAAGACTTCAGGTTCCCTACGTGGTCTGCATCAGTCAGCTAAGTATAACTTCCTTTCACTACTTCGAGATGAACTTGCCAGGCCATATGCAGTTGTTGTGCAAAGAAGGAAGTTCCACAGGAAAAATTTTACAGGAAGTTCCACAGGAGGGGTCAAAGTATATCGCTGTGAATGTCCTTCATATTATAGAGCGCCTTCGCTCTAACTAAACTAGGCTAACGGGCCTCAGTCATGCAATTCAGTTGTGTGACAGAATTTCGCAGCTTCAAGAACTTGTAGATTTTTGCGCGAGGCAGCTTTAGATGCTCGTCTTTAGAGCACGTGTATATGCAGCTATGTATGGAGACTTTCATATTTGTTCTACTCTATAGGGTAGGACAAATACCCGGGACAGTGTGCAGTGGTGTACCATAGTCACCTCTCTTCCTGCCTCCCTTTCTCTCTCTTTACAATACCCCTTAACCATGTGAACAGTGGCTGGCTACAAACCCGCTTTCGAGGCTAAGCTTTCCTTCTTATTCTCATTAAACACCATTGTCTTTTTCTTCAATGAAAAATTTTCCCATTTATCGTATACAGACATCACTGGTGGAGATCTGGCGAAAACATGTCAAAATTACCGTCAAAATGACTAAATTTGAACGGCCAATCTGAAACACACTTTCTTTTTAAAGGATGTGGTTCAACACGGGGTGAACGCATCGGGCGCCTCACGAAAAAAATGCTTTAGACTAGTAATGCCTGTCTAGTTCGTGGCATACTTGTTAAAAAAATAACACAAACTTGATGTTGGATAGATACAGCTCTAAGTGCTCCTCATTCAAAAATTTGGGTAAAAAATTGCACAATTTAGTAATGCAAGAGTTGAAAGCAACTTTGGGCGATCAGTGTAAGAAGTGACAGGTGTAGCATTAGGACAGCGGAAAACATTCTGAAATGTCATCCCTGAGCGGTCATCACTGAAGGCACTGAAGGCACTGAAGGTGGTGCCTCAATTTCTTGCAGTCATGAGACTTACACTGGCGATTGCAGACTGACGGAGTTATAAAGTTGGTGAGCTGTGTGACAGTGTGTGCGTGTTCGTCTTTCTCTATTTCTCCATGTTTAAAAATCTGTCATCCTTTTTTCAAGTGTAGGGTACCATGCCGGTCCTTCTAGACTGGTTGACATACCTGCCTTTTCTTTTTCTCCTGTTCTTTATTTGAGATGGATGAGTGCATGAACAGGGATATTCGATATTCTACCTAACAATGCGCAGACCACATGAAGCGTAGAATAGACAATCAGGGTAAAGCAAAGGAATCATTGCCAAGAGATTGAGAACAAGGTCGAGAGAAGCAGTGAGTCGGAGGGGGGTACGAAATATTTGAACAGGGATTGCGTGGAATAATTTGATACAGTACAGAGCGAAAATGAGATTGTCGAGACAGACTCCGTTCTTTGTTGGACATAAAACAGGCATCATAATATGTTGAACAGGGAACAAAAAGTGTGGAGAAGCAAATATTCAGGCAAAATTATCGGATACTGATAATAATATAATCAGCGGTTTAACATCCCAAAACTGTGATAATATTATCGAAGACGCCTCTAGAGGGCTCCGGAAATTTCCACCATCTGATGTTCCTTATTCGAACTGACGTCGTACGGTGCCTGGGCTTCTTCTACTTAGACTCCATCGTAATGCGACAAGCACGGGCGCGATTGAATTCGTGGCCTTTGGATCACCAGCCGAGTACCGTAATTGCTACACCTCCGCGGTAGACTATCAGATACTGAGCCTATCCTACAGCAATGTAAGGGTGTCTATAACGACCATTTCGAAATTTACTGAAGCAATTGTTACTACACTGACCCACTCCGAGCTGATATGGGCTTAACAGATCATACCCTACAGCGATTATATTACTACCACAAGAAAGTGCAAAAACTATAGGCCTTTCAGTCGAAGACATGGTTTGCTACATGATATTTTTAATTATGTCATGATAAAAATTATATAGCCAGGGAACTAAACCACTTTCGTCAAGTCTCTTGGCTGTTGCACGCTCTTAATCCTGAATCTGATCGAACGTACACTGGGGAGAGCAAAAAAAGAAATAAAGATCCTGGAAGGTGTTGTCAAGATGGAAGGCCAGTGCATATGCTTTAAATGCTATGTACAACCTACTGAGCCCAGTAAAATAAAAAAATGCTACCAATGACCATCCAGAGTTCATAACTTTGTGACACGTATGGCCATTGTTCGAGAATGTGCTGTTCGAAAAATGGCCGCTAATTGAGTAGATTTGCCGCAGTGTGGAAAGCATCGCCTTTGGTGGCAAAGCCACCGCAAAAAAAAAAAAGGGGCATGTGTTCTATCCTCTCGTCCCGGCTGCAGGAGTCCCATTTAAATGTGTTTAACATCGTAATTCGTAAAAAAGTCTGCTTTCATGGAAGTCAATGATAGGCACGGGTGTAAAAGTACAGATGATTAGGCCGAAGTGTCTGTTTAAGAATGGCTTTGAAATAGAAAGGAAACAAGGCCTAAGTTTTTTGGATGGTGTTTGTCCAGCACGACAGGTTTGCATCGTTCTCGAAAGTCAATGTTTTACTGAGTTCAGAATGGTGTTCTCTTTTTTAACTGAGCCTATCTAAAAATAGTAACTTTAAATAGAGTCGAATAGCCCCCAACAGATTTCCTATTACAAAAAATTGTATTCAATATACCATAAAGAAATGTCCATACGCTGTAGTACTTACAATCTACAGGGACTATGTTGTAACAAGACTGTTTGTTGGCCTATTTGGTATTTGACTGCGGATGTGTGTATGTTGTATATTTATTTCTGGGTTTGTGCTCAGTCTAATTTGGTTGGAAATTCTGGGTGCCCTTGTCGTCATGTGTTTCTTCAGTTTGTGTTTTTGTTATTTTGTGAATAATATATGTCATGCAACTTCCAGAAAGCCTGGGTTATAACATTGGACATTACAGGGTCCTATTAATAAAGACAATACGTGTTTGAACTAGAAAAAAACAACTAACCATCTTATTCGCGCACACACACGTGGCTGCAAGGAGATTGCGTAATATTACTGTGGCCTGACCGGTCGTGCGTGCCTAGCTGGTGTCGTGGAGTGCGTCACTGCATTCCTTCTCACCTTAAACATGTGTTATGTAAGTATACCAGCAGGGATAACATTGAATTCACATTTGGTCAAGAATTAAGCTCCATCGTTTACGCACGAGTAAAAAAATTCATTTAGGAACAAGATTATGTTTGACCGTGCATGCTGAAAATTTGTTCCTGGAATATAGTGAGATGTGGAAACCTATAAAGTATTCGAGCGTACGCGAACATTCGAGCAAGTGTAATCTGCGTACCTGCATATGGCGGACGCATTTATGATCTTCTCTGAAGTAATCATAGCGCATAAAATAAGCCGACCCTTCTATACAAAACTTAACAACGCATGCAAATACTCACGTCTTAGCACCCATGGCTCCAGGTTCTGGAGGGCCTTCATGGTTCTCAACAGCGCCGTGCTGCACTCGAACCGCACGTGGGCTGCTAGGAGCTTCCGTACCAAAGAGCGCGGCACTTTGGAAAGTCCGGCGGCCACCACGTCTCTAAGGACTTGCCGGTAGTTTACCTCCTCCGTCGCGCCGACACTGCTGTTCAGACTTGGAGGCGCCACTGTATCCGATACATTGTGACCTAACGTGATGGACACATTGTGAGCCGTCGAAGCATGGGCTAAAGATTCCAGCAGAATGCTCATTGACACGAATGCTTTCCAGACAGCGCCTATTATTCCCGACTTTCCGAGCGCCATAATGTGACGTGCAGTTGACCTGAAGGTGCACTGACGATAAAGTCCACGTTAGATAACCATAACTCGGAGCTGTTCGTACGAAAAGAGATTGCCTGGCTAAATAAAAAAGCGGCTACACTAAAAATATATGCTACAAATAGTGCACGAAAAGCTCTTTCATGCTTTGAAGTATCTTTTTATACCCCGAAAAAGCCCTGAAGAAACGAGTGGAGCATTTTCGAAGAACATGTTTTGCTAATTTCCGTGTTTTGCTTTCGCAATAGCGGGGTCCCTTATTTGCATACCGGCAACGGATTACGCCAATTACTGGCAAGGAAGACCAGCACGGACAAGCTTACACACACACGCAGGTACACACGCAAAAAAAAACGCTGAATATAATGGTTACGCAAATACTTATCGATACACAAGTGTTACGTAACGTCGCGCGAAAATTACGGAAGGAATCGAAGTGAGCTATTCGAGGAAAAAGAAGCTTAATCTGCAATGCGATATGCCCACGAGCAAGTAGACGAGAAGGCCACTATTCGTAGCAGTGACTTTATGCAATCCGCGTCCGTTTAGTGCATGGATGAAAAGACGGCCTGCGGCGATGCTCGTGCCGCATATGGATTTCCATTAAAACAGGTTAGGTACCGACTGCACGCCGTCAAAAACAGAACCGGAATTGCAGCCTATAAATGCACTTACAACGAAGGTGAGAGTAGATGTGGGATCGCACTCCTAATCTATGATTTCTTGCACTTGGGCTTGTTGACGCAAGCAAAGGTTACAGACTCGCTTTTGCTCGCCGCAACATTTTTGAATTTCTCGGCTGAAGTTATTGCGAACTATAAACGGTATGGCGGAAATAATTTCGCTTCATGTTAACGCGCTTAGTTTCTCACGTACAAACATTAACTGGGTCACAGATAAAAAGAAAAGCCTGTGCAGTATTTCTGTGAAGTTCATTTTCTCATAAAGGCAGCGTAAGAAAATCGATTGAGAACGAAAAAAAGCAAATTTTTTAAAATAAAATAAAAAACACAGGTTCCAATTCTGATGACAATTTTTCCTCAAGGAGGGCTATTGCCAGTGAATGCATGGTTTTAATATCATATGCCCTCATTACATTTGTTACCGAGATTTGGTGGGCCGAAACAATCCCTGCTGTGTGTTCCCATTTCGGTGTTTTTAATGATTTTTATTAGCCTGCAATGTGCGTAAGTTCACTGCGCTAATCATTTTCCTGCTGCAAAACTTCCCCTCTGGTGGGCCGACTTCAGTAAAAATAAATTTTCATAATTTATTTTTATCTAACATCAGTGGAAGTGGACTGCTTTTGCTATCGAAGGGCTAGTGCGTACAGAGTTTCTATCCTGGCCAACAACGCTGAGGTGAAAGATCAGTGCACTTTTTAAAAATATCGTTCACTTCAGCTTCCTAAAAAAATGGTCGGTCTACCCTATTGCGATTCTTTCTTACAGATGTAGACCAGTGTATTTCTCGAGACGCGTAAAAAACGCTAGCACACCACTCTGTAAACTGACTACTGTTTCTGTGAACTGTTTTCTTAAGTACGCTTTACGCATTATTCTCTTGCTGTGCTTTTGTATTTCTGTCGTTTGTGCATTTGTGTGTTCAAATGTTAGTTTGTATGCCATGTGATTGGCATCCTCTTTCTTGGTGCCTAAACGGGCATCTCCGACCCCATAGAGCACGCCTGCTGCACGAACTATATCGCAACAACAAGTTTGTATAAAAACATTCACCATCACAAACAGATTAGTAGCGCGAAAATCAGGCGAGTCCTACAGAACAACTCTGCCACAACAAAAATGAAGATTGCGACAAATGGGTAACAAACAACAATTATCATTTCCAGAGAGACGTAAACGGCACTTCATAAATGTTTTAATAAACTGTCAAGACTTGTCCTATAGTAAACCCCGCAGTGTGCTTTTTCTATAGCTGCGCTGCAGCGTTTGCATGAAGAGGTTCAATGGTATGTACAACGATAGAATACTACGGAACGGGTAGCGCAACTACGGCTGCGAAAAGACCCCGAATGAATGAAAGATGTATCCGAACGATAATGTGTCCGTGCAACTACGGGAGGAGCGACTGTCAGTTTCAGCGCGAGTTTCTGTTTCTGGAATATCAGCATCTGTGTCGTGTCCGTTACTGCATGTGGTTTTAATTGAACATCTTTGCGCCGAAAGGAACCTAGCTTGACTTAGCTTATGTGTAGCAACCTGGTAACAATCAGATAGGACATCAGAATTTTCGGGGTTTCCTGCCGGAAGACTTGCGCGGCTTGCTGCTACATTCACCATTTAAGGGGGATTCGCACGAACGAACGGAGGAGGAATTTTCGCAGCGGATGGCGCATCACGTGACGCGTGCGTCATCGAAACATGCCGTCCTCGCCTCATCCGCTCTCCTCCGCTCGCGGCCCGAATTGAAATGTGTCACGGCTATTTCGATCCCCCCGTTTGACGGTCGTGAAAAAAAAAACCAAACGCACTACTCGTTACTCCAACAAAAAGGGAAAGTCCTACAACCACCCTAGGTTACCAACAAACAACAAGTAACGCGTTACCATTACTTCCACCGAAAAAAGTAATCAACGTTACCTTTGTCGTTACTACACAGTCATCAACTGGAATGAATGCGTCTTTGGTACAGGATTTCATGTGGTAAATTTTTATATCTCAAATTTGTATTTCTCATAAAACCTCTAACCTAAAAAGGATTGTAATTATTACGTTCACCTAAATCTTTCGTTACAATGCCTATTCAAATCTATCCTTGGTGATCGACGCTTTTGATCATAGATTTGGCATGTTCAATTTCTTTCTTCTGCACCCAGTACTTTTCAGTTGTAAGTCCAATCACTTGACTTTCAGAATCAGTCTGAATTTGCTAGTTTTGGCATTATAGCAATTTTTTACACATCTTTGCGCGAACCAATGTGCGTGTGTTGTTAGGAAAATGCACTTGGCTGGCGAACTTGACAGAAGGGCATGCTCCTCGTGGGTATGCTACAGTAACTTAAAAATTATGTAACAAAAAGAACCTTTACAGGTCAAATATCAAACTAAGGTGTCAGCTTCACAATTTGACAGTGTTGAGCAGCAATATCTGCAGAAATTTATTGCAGTTATTCAATAGGCGCCTGTTGCTAGAAGTCAGCAGAGAAAATGTATTGAACAGAAATATTTCCTAGGGTCCGCCACATGTGTAGAGTGTGGACGTGACCTTCTCAGCTGGTTTGCAGTGGCCGCTCGCTAGTAACTCAGCAGGAAGTAAAGGGTTGGCTGAGGCCCAAGGATATTGCGGAGTTGGCCGCCAATTTTGAAGAAAGCCTCGACAGCAGGCAGGGCAGCTACCGCTGTGCAGAAACAGGAAATTTCAATTATGGGCCGCAATCGAAACCCTTTGCTAGAACAAATTTCAGCGCCAAATCAGGATCGTGTCTTGGCTGCGGAAAACAGGGTCACTTTCAAAGAGCTTGCGAGCTTTCACATAACACTGCTGCTGATACCGCCGAAATTTCATGCGTAGCTTCCCATAATAAGCGATCATTTGAAAGCCCAGTTGCACCGTCGCGACACTTTCCCATTGTGCAAAACTTGCTGATGAGCAATCCGCAGATAGAGATTCTCGTGGGAAACAAGTCCTGTTTTGCACGAGTTTACACAGGTGCAGATGTAACAGTGGTACGAGAGAATGAAGTGTCCGCGGAAGTTTCGGACCAGAGTAGGGGCACGATAAGGCTTACAGACGCTTTTGGTCATGCATGGTGTTACTGCACGCCTGCTCTACGTACCTCTCGCTCTTCCAACCTCATCGGGAAACGCTGCTCAGGCCGTGAAATCGCGATGCGCAGTGACCGATCAGTTGAATACGAGTGTGTCGGTATTGCTCCGTCGCGCTGATTACGAGTGTCTTCGTCATCACTGGCAAAAGCCACTGCGCGATATAAATGAGGGTAATAAGAGACAGATCAGCTGTGTAAGAGGGGAAGTTATACCACAGCAGTATTCATTAATGAGGGAGCCAAACCATTTGTCTCGAGGTTTTAGCCCTAGCGCTAACACCGTCCAGTGTGCAGTGGAGAGACCGGACGGCCGAGCAAAGGTGCCGCAAACGACTAAGTCAGCGTCACTTGTGGAGCAGGTGCTGTTGAAAAGTTGCAATTCTGCTGCGGCATGTAATGTGGACAGCGAGCGGCTTGGTCTATTTTGTGGAAATTATCGCGACGAGCAACAGGAACGCGATGAGTCACTTGCTGATGCGCGGTATCACGTTAAGAAGGGGGTCACACGTCAGGATAACTGATAGGGCGCAGTTGAATCGGAAGCAGTTATGCCAGTCAGTGGAACCAGCTAAAGCGTTAGCGCACGACGGCCTTTGCGGTGATAACTTCTCAGAAAAGAAAAGGAGAAAGCGCGTTAAAAAGCGGCTAGCGTTGCGGTTCGGTGGTCGAACGAATGGGTCATACGTATTGCGCATTCCTTGTTCAAAAGTAAAAGTCCCCAAGACGGGACCATGTTGTTTGCGACTCAAGAATGAAGTGGAGCTGTAAGTTCTTTGAAGGATCGAACTACCGGAATTTTTTTCTGAGTTCTCCATTTTAGGGAGGAAGAAGAAGAAGCCGAAGTGTGCGAACGCTTCCACTATGGCTCCTGCTTTTTTCAACGTTTTTGCGGCGCCACTTTGTGATTTCAGCGTCATATTAGTGCAACGACTTCCAGAAGACACAGGGACTCGGCCGACACAATTTGCGCGCAGTGAGTGCTTGCTTCTTGCATTTTATTTCGCCTCCGCCATCGTCGCTCGCCCGCCGCCAGCTAGCCCTGACGAGTATCTTCTTTGCTCTAACGTGGCGCGTGCTTGCTCGCGCGCCCCGTAGCCGCACTGTTTCGCTGAGCGATGGAGTACCAAGTGACAGGGGAAGACATTGACCCTGAAGAAATCACGCCAGACCAAGGCTGGCAGACCGCCTCGTGTCGCCGAGCAAAAAATGAA